CTCCCCCCAGTAGCCCCTACACCCTCAGGAAACATCCATCCACCCTGCCCCCAAGAAGTGGCACCTGACGTTACCTCCCTGGTCCCCCTGCCATCCCCGCCCCAGGTCTGCCCTCTCTCTTCTGATAGCCTAACATCTTCCTGTGAAAAGGGCAGCACCTCCACCCCTCCCTATCCTGCTCTCCAGAGCGGGCTTCACTCCTACTTCCCTAAACAGTGCAAAAGAGCCCTGAGACTTGACTGCATTTCTCTCACCTCTTCTGCTCTTAGCTCTACCCCCAGATCCCCATGGTGTGGAGGGCGGGGTGGGCAGTTAGTACCAGTGGCCAAGGGCCACCCCCGCACACAGTTCTCCAACATCACAAATTCCTCTGCAAACTCCCACCAAACTCCATTCAAACACATCCTTGCCGGAGTCTTCAGGGGCCTGCTGACAATAGGCCTGCTGGCCTTGCCCCTGGGACTTAGGGACGATCACTGTCTACTACAGGACACAGCCCCTCACTAAGGCACAGGCGGGACCAAGGTGGAATGATCTAGAAATGTCAGACTTCTAAACGTGGCAGCCAGACATGTTTAATCATGGGTTCCTCTGAAGTTACAGGCTTAATACCTTACCAGGTACTCCTCTTTGTCACCATGATCACTCACAGCCCTCCCGGCTGCCAAGCACCTGAGGACGATGAAGTCCCCCGGCCGCTTCCAGATCCACAAGCTTTGTGGACACTGTGGAGACACAGGTGTCCATCTGTCTGGGGCACATGAGTACCATGACATGAAGCGTGAATGTGCCAGCACCAGGATCCCATGCTGTCCCTGGGGTCTGCCACAGGCCAACCCAGCAGAACCACTCAGTGTCAGCGACCCTGGCACTGAGATGCTACCGAAGCACTGACATGTCTCCAAGGGCCGGGCAGGGAGACCTGCTCACAGTGACGGCCCCACGGCGAGCCCTGCAGGTTCCAGGGGCTGCACCCAGGACCTCTCCTCGAGTCAGTGGGCGAGAGCCCCATGGCAGTGCCAAGAGGAGACACTTGAGGCTGCCTCGGTCAAGAGTGCTGAGCAGACGTCTCGTTCAGAATCTTCTGGACTATGGCAGAGAGTGCGGGAAAGGCAGGGCTCTGAGGGAACTCCTGGATGAAGTCTCGGCCCTCCTCCAGGCTCCTCGTGAGCTGGGGGTCCAGGGGCACAGAGCCTGCAAAGATAAAGGGAAGGGGCCAGGAAAGGGGTAAAGTGGTGAGAGGGAGGCCTGGGAGGCCACGTCCACCCACCTCCCACTGCCCAGGAGCCGCTGTCAGTGCTGCTTTAGCCCAGAGCGGAGCTGTCGGCAGAGCTCTGGCTGAGGTGCCTGGAAGAACTCTCGGACTCTGTTTCCACCTCAACAGTCAGCACCCCGCCCAGCAAGCCCAGCTCTGCCACCCACCTCGTGCTCTGCCCACCTACAAAAGTGTGAGGCGAGCACTGGGGACACGTGTCTCCCCACCCCCACCCCAAGAGGCGCTCCCAGAGCCAGAGCCGCAGCCTTCCCTCTGCTTGTCACTCTAGGTCTCAGCAGGCATCAGCTCCCACTCAAAGCCTGCATAGTGCCACTTTCCTCTCAGGCTGTTTCTTTCCAGCTGGTCAGCACTGACCAAAGTTAGAGAAACATGCCCACAGGTCGAGGAAGATAGGTGGCGACAGCAGCTGCCATCTTCCCCCTTCTTGGGCACAGCGGGTGTAGGCAGGTTGGACCACCTGGAGTGGAGGCCAAGGGGCAGCCCTGACCCACTCACCTAGGAAGGGGACTCCGGTGTGTCTGGCCAGCTCTTCGCCACCTCCCCTGGAGAAGATGTTGGTGCACTCCTAGGACAAAGGCGCAGGGTCCACCTGAGGCTTCTCCAGTCGAGGGGTGGGGGCCGGGCACAGGGAGCAGGGAGGGGGTCCGCGACAGCATCCTTACCCCCAAGACATTCCCCACCCAAAGGCTGGTGATGGCCCCACGAAGTCCCACAACTCACTGTGCAGTGCGGGCAGACAAAGCCACTCATGTTCTCCACAATGCCGATCACCCGCAACCCTATCTTCCTACAGAAGGTCAGCTCCCGCCTCACGTCCCCCACGGACACCGCCTAGAGACCAGGGAAGAGGCGGCACAGGCAAATGGGCATCCTGAACACTCGGCCAAGATGAGTATGAAGAGCAGGGAGAGATGCCCGCCCGGGTGGCAAGTACCTGGGGCGTGGTGACCAGGAGGGCCCCCAGGGGGCTGTAGGGGCGCAGGGCGTCCACGGCGGCCATGTGCTCATCAGAGGTCCCTGGGGGCGTGTCCACAATCAGGTAGTCCAGCTGCCCCCAGGCCACGTCAGACACGAACTGCTTTATCAGCGCTGCAAAGACCCAGGAAGGTCAGATGGCAGGGATCTCGAGCCCATCGCCTCCACCCAGCCTCCAGTGCACAGAGCATCTCTGCAGATCCCATGACCCCGAGAGTATAAGGGCTCCAAGCAGCTCCTCACCCGGAATGGGGCGGGGTCACAGTGCAGCAGGGAGGCCCTCCCATCTGTCCCCAAGCAACCCTTTCTTCCCAGCTGTTGGGCCACCCCACCCCATGGAATTTCTATCCTCAGCAGAGAATGGCTGGAGCTCTGACCCTCCTGGGGTGCCTGTGCCCAGCCTCAACTTTCATAGCCCAAGGGAAGATGGGCTGAGTGGGAGCAGCCCCTGCCCTAAGCCCGCTACTCACACCTGCAGGCTCACTGCCAGTTAAAAAGGGTTTAATGTCACCTGCTGGTTTAGCAGCCCTGGAGACCAGCCTTGGGGCCACCCCGCCACACACACAGGGTAGGCTGGGGTCTGAGCAGACTTGCCCTTCCTGTCCAGGTGAAGGGGACTCCATAGCTGATGGCCACACAGCTGTGTCTTGCTCTCATCACCCATATCCACTGTCTGGACTCACACACCTACACCCCGCTGGGGCCTGACTGGTCAGGTGAGCAGCAAGAGGCCCATAAGGTAAGGGGGTGGGGGAGGGCGGCAGCCCGGGGCTCCTGCATGGCTTTGGCTTTTTAACTGAGCACAGAGGCATCGGCTGGGGGAGGCTGGAAGGCCACAGTGCCATCCCCTGCCCCGTCATTACCGTTTTTCTTGGGGCCCCTCCACACCACAGCCTGGTCTGGCTTCTCCAGAAGGAAGCCCACAGACATGAGGGAGACACTCTGCTCTTGGTCGACGAAGATGGGCACCCAGCCGCTGTCGCACTGGTGTACGGCTCTGCCCTGGGCCCGAAGCATTCGGGGGATGCTGGGGCCACATAGATCCACATCTAGGATCCCCACCTGCAGGATGACCACATGCTGTGTCGGGGCCCCCCCAAGGCAGGAAGAAGCCAGATGGCTGCCCTGTGTGTCCACCTGCAAGGGGTAGGGGCTCAGTAGGGGACAGATGCAGTGGTTGGAGCCAGAGGCACTTACTTTCTTGCCTGCATGGCGCAGGGCCAGAGCCAGCTCCGTGGAGATGGTGCTTTTCCCGACCCCGCCCTTTCCTGAGAGGACGAGGATGATGTGCCGGACACCAGCCAGGTTTCCAGGCTCTGCTCAGGATAAGAGGGGAGACCCTTGGCACAGATGCTCTTCACCACTCACTCGCTGTGTCACCATGCACCTCCCACATCCTGAGACCTGCTCCTTCACTGGACGTCTCCTTGCAGGCCCCAGGCCCGACTGCTGGTTCCTTCAATGGTGCGGCTCTCATCACTCCTGTCTGAAATGCCCCAAACTGCTCTCCTAGTGTGTGTGTGTGTGTGTGTGTGTGTGTGTGTGTGTGTGTGTGATCGCACACCTGTGAGCTCCCACATACATGGGTGATGAGCCAAAGACTGCTGCCTCCCAGCAGATTCCAATGGAAAGGGGTAGAGACTGATGGAAATGGGATCATTATAGCCATGAGGTACCTCTGTGACTGGGCAGCACCCACCCTGCTCCTAGGACCCAGGTCTGATCTGCCGGCGTCCAGCCCGCTCCTCTGGGGTCACAGAGGCACTCAAGGGAGCTTGGCCTCCAGTCCTCAGGAGAGATGCTTACAGCTCTGGGGCCCCAGAGCAGCTGCAGTCATGCGGGCGTATGGATGTCAGTGTCACCTGGCATTGGTCACCCCCACACAGGTCCTAGGCCCAAGAACTCTGTGGATCCCTGTCAGCCACCAGCCAGCCACTCTTCCCCAGCTCCTCTTCCTTCCAGTGAGCTCCAAATCTCACCAAATAGTCATCGTCCCAATCCTTGCACCCTGCATGGGTTGCCGCCTGCATACACTCAACCCTCAGCCCCTCTGCAAACCCCACATTCTTGCCCCAGCGCCCTCAAGACCTCACCATCCTGACTCCTGCCTGGCCTCCCGCAAGCTGCTCTCTCTGCCAAATCCCTGCATGCCTGGGTCCTTGGGCAGGGCTCAAGCATAAATACTGCCCTTCCTTCTGGGACCCTTTCTCAAGGGTACGTTCAAAGGCTGCTGCCTCCAAAGCCTCCCTAGGAAGAACTCAGAGGGTGCTTGCCCTGGCTTTCAGGTAGGTCCTTGTCACCAAGGCATTACAGTGCCTGTCCTAGGTCTGCTTCCAGCACCCTGGGCTGGGGTACCTTGTAAGGTGACAAGGAAAGGGCACACTCCCCCACCCAGATGACTGCCTGCAAACACCAAGCCCCACACCATGGCTCCAGGTCACCCCTGCGGCAATTTAAAAAATTACTTAAATTGCTTTAATATCAAAAGGTACTTGGGGAGTCCACTTCACTTCTGTTAGGGGTGGGGAAGGAGAGGGCTCTGGTGAAAACACAGGAAGAGCCACATCTGGGTCCTGGTTCATCCAAGATCCTAATCTCAAGGACTCGCTTTCCTTACTAGTAGGAATGGGGAATTCTATCTGAGAATCAAATAAGACACTCGTGCTCTCGTCAGGTAACTGGAAGGAGCAGGAAACTTCTGAGACAGCAATCCTTTGACTCCTAAGTAAGCTAAAAAAGTTTATAAATGGACTATCAACAAAGTACATTCACCAAATGCCCACTAGATGGGAAAGGGGCTGTGCTGGAAGAGGCAAGAAAAGCAGTATCTCCCCCGAGAAGAAAGTAAGGACTCCCCTTTATGGATAACAAATAAGTCCTGGTGAGCTTCATCCTTAAGTCCGACGAATCAATTATTTGATACATTGCAAAGTTTGTAAGCTTCTAAGTAACGAATCTTTCTGGATACAATTTACACCAGGGATTGCGTCTGGGCACAGGGAGGTCAACCTTTTTCTTTCTTTCTTTTTTTTTTTTACTGCATACCCATTAGGCCTTTTGAATTTTTATGTGCATTTGTAACAAATATTCTTCTTACTTTGTCGCAAATCTACCCTTATAACAACCAGTTTAAGATTTTTTTTCCCCTCCAGTGTTGTTTATAATCTGCTAGATATCGTCAGCATGTAAGAGCTTGGTGCCCATGGTACCAGATCCGAGGCCTTTCAGAAGATAATGTGGCAAACCCTTATTTATGAAGGCCTATTTTGGTTCATCTGTACAAATCTGATTATATCCACTTGTATGTTTCCCGTCCCACACAACTTTAATTTTTTTAAGTATTAAATTTTAGAAAGCTAGAGTAAAAACTTCAACAAAAAAATTTAAAGTGTGCGATGTCTCTTTTTAAAACCCCCTATTTAAACAAGACTTCTTCCTAAGTTTTAAAATCTAAGCCTCAAATCTTGCGACATCAATAGGCCACCAAATAAAAAAACATGGCATGAAACGGGCAATACTGTGTTTTTAAAGACAAACTGCGTACGTGTTCTCCGCGTTCCCCTGAACTAACATCCACGAGCAGCGCTGCAGTTATGCGGCAACTGGCAACTTGAGGGCGTTACACACATTAGAACACGTGTGCCTCCGTAGCCCTTACACTGCAAATAAAACGATTTGCTAAACACTCGGAGCCCCGACCAGCAGCTGCTGGCCAGCCCCTCCCCGCTCCTCCGCGGACTCACCTGCCGAAGCGTCCATCTCTCCCGCGGCGCCGCGCTGTTCCCCTCTGCTTCCTTTCGCTCCGCCCGCCTCCAGCCAGAGTGAAGAGCCTTTGGGCCAATGGCAACTTTTGATAGGCCTACGCGCGCTTCTCTTAGCCAATCAGGTCGCACGGGGGGGTTTACGCAGGTTCCGGCGCGGACGTTCGTACCGGAGGTGAATCCACTTCCGTATCACGCCCGAGTGTGGGGCCGCCGCCCGCCCTTCCTCGCCCCGCATCCAGAGGGCGCGCGGACCTTACCCCGTCTCGCTTGAGACATGACCAATGGGGACGGCGAGTCAGGACTGACAGTTCCAACAGCCTCTTGGCAAGAAGCATATGCCGCGCGGCCCGGCCCCACTCTGAAGCCCTGGGCCGGGATCGCCCGCCTGCAACGGTGGGGCCAATGCGGCGCGGGGGGCGGGCCGTGGGCGGGGATTGTTTACGTCTTGCTCGGGAGCGGAAAGTGGGTCACGGCCGGCAGCTGAGCAGCTCAGGTGAGGGCGGGTCGCTTCCGCGCTTCCCCGCCCTCCCATCTCGGGACCTTGCGGGTTCGCGAGCGGCACGGCCCGGCCGCGCCTTTGTTCCCGCAGGTGGCGCCAGGGCCCCGGGCGGGCAAAGGGGGCAAGCTGCCCCGCACGGTAGGCCCGCTACGCCGGGTGGAGCCGCAGCACCTACCAAAACTGGAATTAGTAAGAGGCCCCCTGCTCCGAGGCCGGGGACGTGCCGCCGGCCTCAGGGCGGGGACAGTCTCATGGGCCGGTCACTCCGCGTGCATCGCGTGGCGTCCACTGTGCGCTGCAGACGCAGTGGATGGTGACTAGGCCGGCAGACTAGAGCCGGCTCCGGGACTGGCTCCGGCCGGTGGGTGAAGGAGCCGTGCGGTGGCGTTGCTGGAGGGAGGGGAACCTGATTCTGCAGACCGCGCTCCCATCCCTGGAAAGCAGTACCTGCGCTCATTCACCGACAGTGCTGGCCTGTGTGCCTGGCGGGGTCCTCACTGGGGCACAGTGGCAGCCTTCCTGGGGACTTCAGTCTGAGGGAGAGCTAAGCAGTCGATAATCATAGAAATCGAGGTGTGACTGTAAGCAGGATATGAGGGGAGGGGAAGGCATCCAGAGCAAAGGGCAGGGAAGAAGTGGCAACTGGGATAAAACCAGTGTGGCTTGGAGAAGCGCAGGGGAACTTGATAGGCTTTGGGGGATTTTGCCTTTTATCCTAAGAACAATGGCAAGCCCTGAAGAGTTTTAAGGTTTGTTAAGATTGGCTTAAAATGTAAAGGTTTGTTTCAAAAACAGTCAGTTTGGCTGTAGGGAGTGAAGTGGGTGGGGTGGGACTGGCTGTGGTGGCAGTGGGGGGTGTACAGTTAGATTCAGGGCGTGTTTTGGAGGTGGTGTGGGGCGTGTGGGGCCCTTAGGCCACAGTGGGAAGGAGGAAGGTGGGTTGGGGATGACTGTTGTGAGCTTGGCATGAGGAACTGGGAGACTGGAGATGCCATTTGTCAAACTGGGCAATGGAGGAGGAGCCAGGCAAGGTTTGAGATACCTGAGGGACATACAGGCTGGACAGCTGGGTTCCTGAGGCTGAGCCCAGACGGGCTGAGATATGTATTTGAGAGTCATGTGTGTCTGGATGGCTCTTTATACACTCTACCTAAGTTTTATCAAGGTGTTTGGACACTGGAGGAAGGTAGGAGCTTGTGAGGAGAGCTCTGGAGCCCCAGCTCAGCATCTACATAGCTCATGAAAGTCGTCACTTTTGGTGGGGAGGGTGGGGGGGGTGGCTGGCACAGCTGGCCGAGGGCCAAGCGCAGGGGTAGTTGGGAGACCTTCCAGTGTGCTGCGTGTTTCCTGTGCTCAGAACCTGTGTTTTCTTTCAGATCCTGTCCATCATGGCTAGGCGGCCCCGGAGCAGCAGGGCATGGCATTTTGTCTTGAGTGCAGCCCGCCGAGACGCAGATGCCCGGGCTGTGGCTCTAGCAGGGACCACTAATTGGGGCTACGACTCTGATGGGCAGGTAGGTCCCAGTAGATGAGGTGGGTACTGCTGGACTAAGGTGTGGAGACCCCATCTCTGAGGGCAGATCAGAGGGACAGTAGAATTCTTCTGTTCACCCAGGTGGCCCTGTGGCGACTGGACCTTAGGACAGATACCACATTCCTCTTTCCGCTAAAGAGGGTGGCAGTTGGCTCTTTGGTCAGTTCAATCAACAGAGCATCTCCATTCTATTTACTCAGCCAGTTTCCAAAGGGAGCCACTGTTAACTTGATGTGCATCTTTCCAGACAGTTCCTTTGTCTGAACGAATATGAGCTCTGTATGTAAGAGATCTTTGGTTTTTAGAGACCACAGTTCCTGTGCTTTCCCCCACTCAGTGGCTCCTGAGTGCTGGGATCCCAGGATTGGGGAGGCGGTCAGAACGGCAGCTCCTGCTGTTTGTCTCAGTGCAGGCTGCTGATATACCTAAGGGCTTTGCAGCCAGAGCATGGCTGCACCGACCTGTCATCGCAGGGTGGAGTGGCAGGGCTGTGTGGCTTTTGCGTCTGTTGTGGGGACACTGGGGGTGGCTTTTCAGTCATCTTCCAGAATCTCTTAGATGAGAACAGAAGGTTGGCTCTGCCCTGAGTCACTTCCCCTGCTTCCTGTAGGGGTAATCCTTGGGTGACTTGTCTGCGCTGTCACAGCCACCCTGCGTTATTGCCCCGGCTCAGCCAGGTGTCCTGGGTGGGGGTGGGCGCCTCTCCTCCCTAGACTGAGGGCAACTAAGCCCCATGGAATCGCCAAGCCTTAGATGAGAATTGCAGGTGACTGTTCTGGGTTCACAGTGTCCTAGTCCCCTTCTTGGGACTGCCCCCAAATCCCTGCCCAGGTGAAAAAGAGGCCCTGGATTGCATTTGTCCCGCCTCCAGCTCCTGTCCAGACCACGTGGCCTGCAGCAGTCTGTTGTCCTGTCTCTGCGTTGCTGGCTCATCACTGTGGGATGCAGGTGTTGGGGGGCTGGGGTGCAGTGTCTGACACATGCTTGCATGCAGCATGCTTTGTCACCTAATGGGCCTGGAGTACTTGTGTGTGTGGGCAGGCAAGTGGGTGTGTCACCCTGGCACCTTTGAAGACTGAACAGACACACCTGTCTTTCCTTTTTCTCTTATGGCTTGTGGTGGGGCTGGCTTTGCCCCCTGCCCAGGCTGACTTCTGGGCCTGCAGTGCTCAGGTCTGTGCCCCTAGCGCCTGACTCCATGGGAAGGGGGTTGCCTTGGCTGGCAGTGTGTCTGCCTTGGCTTTTAGGGGATCACCGTTCTATGCTATATGGGATGATTTGGGCCTGCTTCTAGTCTCCTTTCTGGGGGCTCTCTCGAATTGGGGCTCAACCCCCTCAGCTCAGCCTCTCTGGTTGGTTCAGGAGCTTCTGTACAAACCCTGAGTATAATAGAAAAAAAATGAGGACCAGGCTCTTCCCTGGGTTTCTGTTCTAATGTGAGGAGGCAGATCAACAAGATAAAGGCGATTGTCAGGGAAGCAGGTGAGAAGGAAGAGGACCTGGGAGGGAGGGCTGGATGAGCCTCTTTGAAAGCTGCCATCCAAGGACAAAGAGACACCCCCCACCCCCCATGACAGGTGGGGGAAGAGGAAGAGGGGCCAGGGCAGGGGAGGCTCTGATGGGGGGGTGGGCTTCAACCCAGGATGGCAGGATCTGTACCAGGTCTGAGGAGGTACACCTGGACTGCTGTGGAGAGGGTGTTTCAAGGAGGCAAGAGGCATGCCCAGAGGCCAGGAGACCAAGGGTAGAGACTGGGACCTGACAGAGCAGGCAGGCAGAGGCTGGCTGCACCCTCTGGGCCCTGGGCAGGGAGACCCCAGCCCCTTGAAGGTTGGGCTGAGATCCAGAGCCCAGGTGGATATCTGGAGCAGCCTATATGGCTTCAGAGTAGGAATGACTAGGTGTGGAGTGTCCCTTGCTGGCCTCCAAAAGAGTGGGGGTCAGCTGGTCGCCAGCACCTGACCAGCTGAGCCTGGGATCAGGCCCCAGACTCGGAGCAGGCACCATGAGGACTGAGCCCCTCAGGCAGGGGGCTGGGTCCCCACTCACTGTTTTCCTGTAACAGAAGCTTAAAGCAGCAACATGAGAGCCCTGGGCTTGTCAGAGTCCTGGGACAGGGATTAAGAGCCACCACTTGCAAGGATGAAAAGGGGGACGCAGCCCAGGAAGGCAGGTAGACAGTCACTGCCACAGCAAAGAGCCCAGCTGCTGCCAGGGCAGAGACCGGGGCTGCCTTTATTAGGTCAATAGTGGGCTTTGCCAAGGGGCTCCCCTGCTTTAGGCCACCCTCAGTGGGGCCATATCCGTGTGCTAGAAGCTACCTGGAGAAGGATGATGGCCGAGCACACAGCCCTGTCATGGGCTCATCAGTGCCTGGGCCTCCAGGCCCCCTTGGCTGTGCAGGAAGCCAGGGGTGTGGTAGATATTTGGGGGAAGGAGGCCCACCTGCCCAGTTCCTGAGCTGTGAGGAGGTGTCCAGGGTCATTCTGGGGGCATTGTGGCAGGGTGAGCCAGCTGTCCACTTGGGACCCAGGGAAACTCCCAGATCCCTTCCTTGGGGCATCAGCAGTTCACCCATTGGCCCGTGGTGAGTGTTGGGGCAGGGGGCGGGCAGAGGGCACAGCAGGGGTACAGCCTGCCCTGTTCTCCCAGCACAGTGACTCCGACTCTGACCCCGAGTATGCGTCCCTGCCGCCGTCCATCCCCAGCGCAGTGCCTGTGACGGGAGAGTCCTTCTGCGACTGTGATAATCAGAGTGAAGCCTCCTTCTGCGGCAGCCTTCACACGGCCCACCGGGGCAAGGACTGCCGCTGTGGGGAGGAAGACGAGTGTGAGCACCTGGTGTGGGGCCACCTGGGCTGGCTGTGGTGGGCAGGTCCCAGTGGGGGCTCTGGAGACCACCCAACCTGGGTCTCTCCTCTCCTAGATTTTGACTGGGTTTGGGATGACCTGAATAAGTCCTCGGCCACCCTGCTGAGCTGTGACAACCGGAAGGTCAATTTCCACGTGGAGTACAGCTGTGGCACAGCAGCCATCCGAGGCACCAAGGAGCTGGGGGATGGCCAGCACTTCTGGGAGATCAAGATGACCTCGCCTGTCTACGGCACCGACATGGTAAGTAGCTAGCAGGGCTGGGGGCGGGGGGCACGGCTGTTGCTGTGGTCCTGGGCCCCCTCTGCCCTGCCTGTTAACCCCAGATGGTAGGCATCGGGACGTCCGACGTGGACCTGGACAAGTACCACCACACATTCTGCAGCCTGCTCGGTAGAGACGAGGATAGCTGGGGCCTCTCCTACACAGGTGTGTGGGGCTCCGAGGGCGGATGGGCCAGGAGGCACCCCTAGGCAGCAGGGCTCACCCCCACCTTGCTGTCCCCCCCAGGGCTCCTCCACCACAAGGGTGACAAGACAAGCTTCTCATCACGGTTCGGCCAGGGCTCCATCATCGGCGTGCACCTGGATACCTGGCACGGGA